AAGTGACAGAATCGTGCCTTATATAGTGCCAGGAAGGCACTATACAAGCCCGATTCTGTCACTTCAACTTCATATTTTTTCAGACAACGGAAACAATGCTCTTCGTCCAGACTAAGGGACTGACCACCTCAAACCTTTAAAGGGTGATGACTGATTACATCGTCCTCCAAGTATCTTCGCTTCATCAACTTTCTGTACCGACTGAAAAGCCTACTGTGTCGGCGAAACGTTTCAAAATAAAGAACCTAACTGTTGCATATGTTGTCTTACCTAACATTTAAAACAATGGCTGACCGTCATCCAAACAGCCTCTACTGCACGACGTACAACTAGCAATGACAATTTCTCATCTTACTGACGTTCATCTGTTGACAGATACATCATATTCTGTACCAACCATCATATCACCTGTACCAGTGCTAACGAGAGGAAACACAGAGTACCACGTCGAAAAAATACAACAGTATCAAAACTCCAGGTCGGATACCCTCAGAGCCATCGTGATATAGAAGTAAAATAGTTAAACAGTCAAGGTTAATGTTTAAAAGGTAGCTGACCTAATTCACTACCAGTGTACAGTGAGGTAGAATCAATAGCAGAAACGCCAAATATATCTATAAACTCAAGAAAGGCAGGTTGTAGGTGGCGTTTACTCCACCCTCAGTGTTTTAAAATGGATGATCAGCATAAACAGGTAGGTCAGGGAGACAACACCACACAACCCCCGATAAAATGAATTGAGGGGATTTGGAAGGATAAAACCATGGAATTAAACCTTTAATGATCTACCAGAATGGAAAGAGTTATAAGTGTAATAGGGGAAGCCAGATACTGTGAAGTGAATGGGAAGGAGTGTGTAATTAGGTTAACAGTAAGGGTTTTGTGAAGTAAGGAAAAGTGAGCAGTGAAGAGGGTTTTGAAGACGAAATTTTACTATATTCAGTGGTGGATTGCTAAATCAGATACTAAGTGTACTATGACTGAAATGATCAAATAAATAGTATTGTATATGATTAGAAATGAGCGAAGATGAAAATGCAGCATTAGGGGGTACAGGAGCTGCCATAATTATATTTTATAATTTCTTCTTCAATACCATGAAGAAAGAATCAGTCATGGGCTGGAATAAGGTGAATGAGTAACAGTGCCCTGGACAGTAAAAGCCCAACATTGCCATCCTACCAGAACAGTAAATGTCACTATCGCCACAATGTAGTGGCAATACCGCATACCCAACAAAAACAGTGCACACAGCTCTTATTGTATCGCTCTTAAGTGGTGATATCCAAATTATCAGGACCTCAAACTATTGTGCAGAGGCCAAAACAGACAGATAAAATGAACGGTGATAATGACGGACTAGTAGCGAGAATGATGAAAACCTTAACTCCATATGTAAATGCATACGTAGTCAATTGTGAGCCAATACAAGCCATTATTATCTCAAACACGACCAAACAGGTGCAACTCTTACTAAAGTACGCATGAAAAACGTTGAGTAGAAAAGGCACCTTATGAAAAATATAATGGGTGGTGCATGATGGATTGTATTACAATTATAGCAAACGGTGCCAGAAATTCAATTTGTTGTAACAAAAGCACTTTGGCCAGTTACCCCTTTAGCAGTGATGACATTGATTTACTAAATTTTAATACAAATGACCAGTTGTTGCCAAATATTGATGATTATGATTGTTTATAACACAGCCTTCACTTTATTCATGTCCAAAGCAAGATCAATTCTTCCTAAATGCAGAGATTAGGATTCTAGCTAACAAAATTAGGGCGGCAGTTATAACTCATCTCTGAATCTTTGGTTGGATGATACGGTGATGACGACGAGTCAAAAATATATGTTACGAATAAAACGCTAGATAGGAACAGAAAGGGTGGTGATATGTGCCATACCTTTGAAAATGACATTAGCTTACCAACCCAAGACCTGATTTAAATAGCAATAAACTGGAGATTCTATGGTTTGAAGTGCTGCCTCCTAAACCAAGACCCATCTAGTAGGGACTATTCCGCCCCTCACTACCCAGGACGCAGTCTTAGAAGACTTTTCCCAGAGTCTTGGTCCGGATTTGAAAACAATTGCTAGAGCAATAATACTGGGGCGACTTCAATATCGTTCAGCAACAAAATAACGGGCTATGCAAAAGGTATAAGCAAATTCTAGGATTAAATAATTACACTACTCACCAAATTAATACTCCAACCCGGACACACAGTTCTCAGCCACCCTATTGACCACGATACTTTTGTAACCGCTCGTGAGAACATTAGTCAGTCCAGCTCATTACCACAGGTCTTAGTATCATTCACATTTACTGCACCAGGAAAATCCACTGGAGGGATAGGAAAGGACCTACACAGGACAATAAATATGAGGGTTCAACAGAAACATACTGTAAAGAAACATGGTAAATAGGCTACACAATTGTGACTGGTCAGAGAATAACAAGTTTTGCACGTACGTAACCGATGCCTGGGAAAATTTCAAAACAAGTTCACTACCATCACTTGATAATATTGCAACCAGTTAAAGAGGTTAGTATTCAACGAAAGAACTGAAACCCTGGATGAATACTTAGATATTACATAATAGAAAATTCAGAGACCAGCTCTAAAAAGATTTAAAGCAAAACAGACAGGATATGCGCACTAAGAATTCCAAAGAGGGTGAGGAACATAGTACAAGACTTAATAAAAGAGCAAAGGCAAAGCACTAACTGTCTCAAAAATTGAGAGTAAATCATAACCCCAGTTCAACCCCAAAAGTCTCTGACAACAACTAAAAACAGTTGGGGTATAGCCATAAGCCGAGTAGATAGTTCTAACATATACTCACTATCATAATGAGGTATGCCACGAAACATCTAATGGCAAATTGGCTTTAATTATTCCTACTACACAATCAGTTGCATCACATCTAGTATGTAAACTACCAGCTGCATCAAATACCTTTGAACACAGACTCTGATAAGTTTCAACATTACTATAATACCAATAAAGGGGTAACCCCAAACAGATTGTCAACTAGTAATAGCTCATGACTTTATTCAAAAATGAACTAAGCATGTGATAAACCCAACAAAGAGCATAGGCCCTGATAACATCCCATCTAAGTTCCTAAAGAGGTGCTTCTGAACTGTCGAATCCCTATTGCTCACAAATAAATCTATCAATACATCATTAATACCGTACCGGAGGGGTTTCAAGAGCCCAGAGTTACTCCTAACTTCAAAAAAATAGTAGGTCTGATGTAAGCAACTATAGCCTGTAAGTATATCTCAGTATAATCTCTAAAATTCAGAGAGGGCGTGTATTCTCAAGTAGTTAAGTAACTTAATGACAACAACATTCTCCATACTATCAATCGGGCTTTGAGAAGACCTACTCACCGCACCTCCCCTATTAATCTGATGGATTACCTGAATAACTGAAATGTCAAAGGGGAACCACATAGGTATGGGTAATCTTAGACCTGCCAAGGCCGTCGAACTGTCAACCACAAAATATTATGTAATAAACTTCAAGCTATCGTTATAGGTTCGTAGACTGTTTGAAGTCCCCTACCTTAGCAACAGGAGACAAAAAGACCAAAATCACAAAACAAAGAATCCTAAAACCCCTGCCAATAACATTGGAGTTCCCAAGGTAGTATTCTGGTCCCTTATTATTCTTAGGTTATGTCCAATGATATGCCTACAGTGTCAAGTGCAAACTCCTCCAGTATGCAGATTATCAGTGCTCTCTGTTAGTGTCCGGTAAAGACCCCACAAGATATTGCTAATGTTTTAACACTGGAACTGGAGTTCCTGCCCAAAAATGGTTAGAAGACAACAAACTATCATTACCCTAGGGAAAACTGAACCATTCTCTTTTGGCACGAAACATAAACTGAGAAGGGTAAATAATTTTAATGTTCAAGTGTAATGGGAGCCCATCACTTTTGGTTTCATCATTAAATATTTGGGAATCCCCTTTGAACCCATGCATGTCCAGGAGAATTGATAGGGAACAGTGTAGTAAAGAAGCGATGCAGACTGAAGTTCCTGTATATACAAGCACAGTGTCTACCTACTGAGCTCGCAGGACCCTATTCTAGCCCTTATACAATGTCTATTGATTACGCTTGCTCCTTCATTGTAGTCTGCCTTGAACAAAAAAACTGAAAGATAGACTGCAAATCACCCAAACAAAATCGTAAAGATTCATATCCTGGGGCTGGTACCAAAGAACATGTAGGCCAGGATTAATACAGCATGGATATGCTGAATGTTGAAGACAGAGTAAAACAACTGAAGCTATAAATCATTTTTATAAAATGCTCACAACAATGTCCAGAATATCTTGCTGTCAATTTTGTCAAGGTTTGAGGACCAAAGTCAATCATAGTTACTGGGGAGAGAGCACAACTTTGTAGTATACCACAGTCATTGGCCAGGCGTCAAACACCTTTTTTTTAATTTACAGCAATAAAGGAATGGAACAGACTGCCCGCACATGCCAATGCTAGTCATAGCATGAACCAGTTCAAGAAGAGTGCCAAAAGGTGTCTGATGAATGTAGCTACAGAAAGGGAGGGGAAAGATTTTCTATTTTTTAGCTAACATACGTGTAAATTTTACCTTATTCCTTGTAATGACACTCGTATTGTAGATAGTCTTAATGACCTTGGTGTCGCAGATAGTCTTTTTAGTAGGATAATAAGATGTTATCTTCATTGTAGAACAATAAAAAAATATTATAACCTTTATACTATAATAATAAGGTAAAAGGACCCCAATGGAAATAAGTCACTCTGTCTGACTTTTTTGGGTTATCCTAGGTTCTCTACACATATGCTGCTATGTATGATAATTCTATGTAACTGTATTTGTGTATACCTGAATAAACTTACTTACTTACTTACTTACTATCAAGAGCCCCTCACCAGTATCAAGGAACCTGCCTGAAGGGTCGCGCCATCGGGATAAATACGGCGTAAGCTGTCAGTGGTCCTTATAAACCAAACAAAGAAAAAACAGATAAGATAAATAAATAAAATTACGTAAGAAAATATTCAAGCCAATTGCAGGTGATTTAACAGGATTATCAATTTCATCCCCTCAAGGCAGGATCCTTGACGCTGGTGAGGGGCTCTTGATCTAGAGAACTGGATCTGTGCTCCAGTTCCCTGAATACCTTCCACCCTGCCCCCCCAGACGCTGTATGATCCTTATGGGTTTAGCGTTCCGTTTTTATAGGCATAACACTGATGATTAATTTCGTGTATATAGTTTTTTTATAGGTATAGCGTTGATTAATTCAGTATATAAGAAAATTACCAACCGAAGTCAAACAATGTGATATATTTCCACTAGAGTCCTTTTCTTATATCAATGTAATTAAGTCATTTTGGGCATTTTTTTTTTGTACAGTATTAACCCTGAGTAGTTACCGCTTATTAATGAATATACAATGTACTCCCAAGCCTATATTTCAGCTATTTTTTTTGTGATTTTTTAACCACTGTTGTCATTTTATGTATAAAATTTTGATATTGTAATTTCCTCTGCGTTCTGTGCTGAATTACCCGCGAGGGTTTTACCTTTTATTTCAGTGTATGTTAGCGTTGGTCACTAATTACAACAAAATATAGGAAAAATACCACAAAAAACCCAGGGTATATATCAGTCTTGTGTGTAGGTCAGTCTTGCCTTGTGTAGGTCAGTATGTAGGTCAGTCTTGTCTTGTGTAGGTCAGTCTTGCCTTGTGTAGGTCAGTCTTGCCTTGTGTAGGTCAGTCTTGTCTTGTGTAGGTCAGTCTTGTCTTGTGTAGGTCAGTATGTAGGTCAGTCTTGTCTTGTGTAGGTCAGTATGTAGGTCAGTCTTGTCTTGTGTAGGTCAGTATGTAGGTCAGTCTTGTCTTGTGTAGGTCAGTATGTAGGTCAGTCTTGTCTTGTGTAGGTCAGTATGTAGTCAGTCTTGTCTTGTGTAGGTCAGTATGTAGGTCAGTCTTGTCTTGTGTAGGTCAGTATGTAGGTCAGTCTTGTCTTGTGTAGGTCAGTATGTAGGTCAGTCTTGTCTTGTGTAGGTCAGTATGTAGGTCAGTCTTATCTTGTGTAGGTCAGTATGTAGGTCAGTCTTGTTTTGTGTAGGTCAGTATGTAGGTCGTGTTGATTGTGTCTGGAGGGCATCATTCCAGTTCTTAATGTTCAAAACTGTATTAATGTTCAAAACTAATATTGTCCCATACTTACAGTCTTTACTTTTGCAGTGACATCAGTTCATCATGTGTTTATTGTTCCTGTACATAAATCCTCACCTGAAGAAGGGAGAATATAAAATAATATTGGTCAACAACCGAGATGAGTTATATTCCAGGCCGACCAAACCTGCACATTTATGGGACTCTAAAATATATGGAGGTAGGATGAAAACTGTTTAAGTTGTGATTAGGGCTGTGTTAAATATTTTAATGATGCAATAATTTATTTGTTAAAAATATTTTTAATGATTCTCAATTGTACTTAAATATTTTGCTTCACTGTACTTGCAGTCACCACCAATGAGTATGATTTATTGTAAGAGGACACTTCATTAAAGTTAAATAATCATTTATTTTAGGTATGGATGTTGAAGAGGGCAAGGAGGGAGGAACATGGCTAGGTGTCTCTGAAACTGGTAAGATTTCGTGTTTGCTGAATATTTTCCAGCCTTCAGGCCAGTTCAAAAAGGATGGGGCTTCAAGAGGTTTCTTGGTGGTCAAGTACCTTCAGGCAGAACAAAGTGGAGCAGAATATTTGGAACATATTATTAAGTCAAATCTTGTATATAACCCTTTTAATCTATTAACAATGGACCCAGGAGAACTCTCCTATGATGTAACATATTATAATAGTGAAAATAACTTTTATCAAAAGATTCAGCCTGGAGTTCATGGATTTGGTAATTCCTTCATTAACAAACCATTCAGGAAAGTTAAGAAAGGTGAAATGAAATTTCAAGAGATAATTAAAACATATGGAAAAACCGAGAGTGAGGAACAACTGATAAATGAACTGATTACTATGATGCAAAACTCTGAGAAGAATTTTCCTGATGAGCAGTTAGCAGAGCAGGGCAAAGGTCAATCAGAAGACTTTGTGAAAAGCCTCTCCAGCATTTTTGTCACCTTCCCTGGTGTGGGTTATGGAACAAGGTAAAGGAATGATTGTAGGAATAGTCAAAAATAGATACGAAGACAAATAAATGACCTAATTGAGAGGTTTTAAATATACTGTATGTGAATTTTATGAAGTGGTTTGTTTTGTGATGCAGTATTTGTAGCTTCTTAAGTAGAACTATACTTGTGGTATCCCTGCTTCAGTATTTTATTTAGTTTTGTCAGTTATTAATTGAATGTTTCAAGTGATTGTAGCTTTGCTTCGTTTTGGTGTCCATTCCAGTACTCTACCACTATTTATGTCCTTTTAGTATCTTCCTTTTTCTTTCCTTCAAAGGGGATGCCCTGATTTTGATGAAAACCTGTTGATCCAAGGAATAGGAGCTACTTTCCCCTTCTTTGGATCAAACCTATTTATGGTAATTATACTGATGTGTACCTGTACCTAAATAAACATACTGTAGAACCTTGTTAGGTTCAGCATTTCCTTATGCATATAATAATAATAATAATAATAATAATAATAATAATAATAATAATAATAATAATAATAACTTTTGTGTAGTTTGCAATTGTCACTTTTGTTCTCACTGAAGGGGGTGGGAGAGTTTCAATGGAGAGGAATAAATGGGATTAGGTCAGGGGTTTCAAATAGAGTTAGAGCTAAAGAAGGAGTAGCAATAATGTTGAAGGATAAGCTATGGCAGGAAAAGAGGGACTACAAATGTATAAATTCAAGGATTATGTGGAGTAAAATAAAGATTGGATGTGAAAAGTGGGTTATAGTAAGCGTGTATGCACCTGGAGAAGAGAGAAGTGTAGAGGAGAGAGAGAGATTCTGGGAAATGTTGAGTGAATGCGTGGGGAGTTTTGAATCAAGTGTGAGAGTAATGGTGGTTGGGATTTCAATGCTAAAGTGGGTAAAAATGTTATGGAGGGAGTAGTAGGTAATTTTGGGGTGCCAGGGGTAAATGTAAATGGGGAGCCTTTAATTGAGCTATGTGTAGAAAGAAATTTGGTAATAAGTAATAACATATTTTATGAAAAAGAGGATAAATATAAAACAAGGTATGATGTAGCACGTAATAAAAAGTATTTGTTAGATTATGTATTGGTGGATAAAAGGTTGATGGGTAGGCTCCAGGATGTACATGTTTTATAGAGGGGCAACTGATATATCGGATCATTATTTAGTTGTAGCTACAGTTAGAGTAAGGGGTTTAGATGGGAAAAGAGGAAGGTGGCAACAACAAGTAAGTGGGAGGGAAAGTGTATAAACTAAGGGAGGAGGAAGTTCGGCGAGATATAAGCGACTATTGGCAGAAAGGTGGGCTATGCAAAGATGAGAAAGTGGGGGGTTGAAGAGGGTTGGAATAGTTTTAAAAATGCAGTATAGAATGTGGGGCAGAAGTTTGTGGTTAAGGAGGGTGGGGGCAGGAGGAAAAGAGGAGTGATTGGTGGAATGATGAAGAAAAGGGGTGTGATAAAAGAGAAAAAGTACTTACGAGAGGTTTTACAAAGCAGAAGTTTTTATAAGAAGAGCAGAGTATATGGAGAGTAAAAGAAAGGTGAAGGAGTGGTGAGAGAGTGCAAAAGGAGAGCAGATGAAAGAGGGGGGAGAGGCACTGTCAAGAAATTTTAATGAAAATAAGAAAAAATTTGGAGGGATTTAAAAATAAGTTAAGAAACCCTAGGGAAAGTATGGATTTGTCAGTTAAAAACAGAGTAGGGGAGTTAGTAGATGGGGAGAGGGAGGTATTGGGTAGATGGCGAGAAATTTTGAGGAACTTTTAAATGTTAAGGAAGAAAGGGGCGGTAATTTCATGCACTGGCCGGGGAGGTATACCATTTTTTAGGAGTGAAGAAGAGCATAATGTAAGTGTGGTGGAGGTACGTGGGCATTACGTAGAATGAAAGGGGGTAAAGCAGCTGGAACTGATGGATCATGACAGAAATTTAAAAGCAGGGGGGATATAGGTTGGAGTGGTTGGGACTTTTGTTTAATAAATGTATGAAAGAGGGGAAGGTACCTAGGGATTGGCGGGGAGCATGTATAGTCCCTTTTTAATAAAGGGAAAGGGGACAAAAAGATTGAAAAATTATAGAGGAAAAATTTACTGAGTATACCAGGAAAAGTATACGGTAGGGGTTTTAATTGAAAGAATTTGAGGTAAGACAGAATGTAAATTGCGGACGAGCAAGGAGGTTTCAGAGTGGGTAGGGGATGTGTAGATCAAGTGTTTACATTGAAGCATATATGTGAACAGTATTTAGATAAAGGTAGGGAAGTTTTTAAATTTCATTTATGGATTTAGAAAAGGCATATGATAGAGTGGATAGAGGAGCAATGTGGCAGATGTTTTCAAGTATATGGAATAGGTGGTAAGTTACTAAATGCTGTAAAGAGCTTTTTTGAAGATAGTGAGGCTCAGGTTTGGGTGTGTAGAAGAGAGGGAGAATACTTCCCGGGAAAAGTAGGTCTTAGACAGGGAAGTGTAATGTCACCATGGTTGTTTTTAAAATATTTATAGATGGGGTTGTAAAAAAAGTAAATGCTAGGGTGTTCGGGAGAGGGTGGAATTAAATTATGGGGAATAAAATTTAAAATGGGAATTGACACAGTTACTTTTTGCTGAAGATACTGTGCTTATGGGAGATTCTAAAGAAAAATTGCAAAGGTTAGTGGATGAGTTTGAGAATGTGTGTAAAGGTAGAAAGTTGAAAGTGAACATAGAAAAGAGTAAGGTGATGAGGGTATCAAATGATTTAGATAAAGAAAAATTGGATATCAAATTGGGGAGGAGGAGTATGGAAGAAGTGAATGTTTTCAGATACTTGGGAGTTGACGTGTCGGGGGATGGATTTTAGAAGGATGAGGTTTAATCATAGAATTGATGAGGGAAAAAAGGTGAGTGGTGCGTTGAGGTATATGTGGAGTAAAAAAAACGTTATCTATGGAGGCAAAGAAGGGAATGTATGAAAGTATAGTAGTACCAACACTCTTATATGGATGTGAAGCTTGGGTGGTAAATGCAGCAGCGAGGAGACGGTTGGAGGCAGTGGAGATGTCCTGTCTAAGGGCAATGTGTGGTGTAAATATTATGCAGAAAATTCGGAGTGTGGAAATTAGGAGAAGTGTGGAGTTAATAAAAGCATTAGTCAGAGGGCAGAAGAGGGGTTGTTGAGGTGGTTTGGTCAATTAGAGAGAATGGATCAAAGTAGAATGACATGGAAAGCATATAAATCTATAGGGAAGGAAAGAGGGGTAGGGGTCGTCCTCGAAAGGGTTGGAAAGAGGGGGTAAAGGAGGTTTTTGGGTAAGGGGCTTGGACTTCCAGCAAGCGTGCATGAGCGTGTTAGATAGGAGTGAATGGAGACGAATGATACTTGGGACCTGACGATCTGTTGGAGTGTGAGCAGGGTAATATTTAGTGAAGGGATTCAGGGAAACCGGTTTTTTTCATATAGTCGGACTTGAGTCCTGGAAATGGGAAGTACAATGCCTGCACTTTAAAGGAGGGGTTTGGGATATTGGCAGTTTGGAGGATATGTTGTGTATCTCTATACGTATATGCTTCTAAACTGTTATATTCTGAGCACCTCTGCAAAAGCAGTGATAATGTGTGAGTGTGGTGAAAGTGTTGAATGATGATGAAAGTATTTTCTTTTTGGGGATTTTCTTTCTTTTTTTTTGGGTCACCCTGCCTCGGTGGGAGACGACCGACTTGTTGAAAAAAAAAAAAAAAAAAAAAAAAAAAAATAACAATAACAATAATATAATATCTTTATTTTTACAAGTACAGTTGACCCCCGCATAACGATTACCTCCAAATGCGACCAATTATGTAAGTGTATTTATGTAAGTGAGTTTGTACGTGTATGTTTGGGGGTCTGAAATGGACTAATCTACTTCACAATATTCCTTATGGGAATAAATTCGGTCAGTACTGGCACCTGAACATACTTATGAAGTGAAAAAATATCGTTAACCGGGGGTCCACTGTATATGTACAAGGTATACAGGTCTAACTGACGTCAATGACATACTACTATATAGAAAGCTGCTTGTCATACCTGGAGTATACCTGGAGAGGGTTTCAGGGGTCAGCACCCCCATGGCCTGGTCTGAGACCTGGCCTCATGATGGATCAGGGTCTGATCAACAAGGCTGTTACTGCTGGCCACATGCAAACTAATGCATGAACCAGAGCCCAGCTGGTCAAGTACTGACTTTGGGTGCCTGTCCAGTGTCTTCTTAAAGACAGCCAGGAGTCTATTGGTAATTCCCCTTATGTATGGTGGGAGGCAGAGCATTTCGGGCAAGCTGAGTCAGTTTTGTCCCGGGATGTGACTCACTATCTAGGCTGGAATATTGCTGCACACTAACAGCACCTTTCAAGGCAGGTGAAATTGCGGACCTAGAAAATGTACAGAGAACCTTCACGGCGCGCATAACGGGGATAAAACACCTCAATTACTGGGAGCGCTTGAGGTTCCTGAACCTGTACTCCCTGGAACGCAGGCGGGAAAAATACATGATTATATACACCTAGAAAATCCTAGAGGGACTAGTACCGAACTTGCACACGAAAATCACTCACTACGAAAGCAAAAGACTTGGCAGACGATGCAACATCCCCCCAATGAAAAGCAGGGGTGTCACTAGCACGTTAGGAGACCATACAATAAGTGCCAGGGGCCCGAGACTGTTCAACTGCCTCCCAGCATACATAAGGGGGATTACCAATAGACCCCTGGCAGTCTTCAAGCTGGCACTGGACAAGCACCTAAAGTCGGTACCTGACCAGCCGGGCTGTGGCTCGTACGTTGGTTTGCGTGCAGCCAGCAGTAACAGCCTGGTTGATCAGGCTCTGATCCACCAGGAGGCCTGGTCACAGACCAGGCCGCGGGGGCGTTGACCCCCGGAACTCTCTCCAGGTAAACTCCAGGTAAACACCAGCCGACTAACACCCAGGTTCCCATTTACTAATGGGAAATAGACAACCAGTGTAAAAAAAACCATGCCCAATGTTTCTACCCTCACCGGGAATCGAACCTGGACCCTCGCCGTGTGAAGCGAGAGCTTTAGCCACCAGGCCATGGGGCAAAAATGGTAAGAATGGTAGGCAGCTGGAAAACAACTATCTAAGACAGTACTATGGTTTGATTGCTGTTCTTTTCCTTCATGTCTCCATCAACATTTATGATGAGAGTACTAAAGAAGTTGCAGCAAATGATGTAATCTTCGGTGCTCTGTATTCTTGTGAATAAATGGTTTACAAAAAAAAAAATGTTGATAAATGAGACACTTGTGCAACATTTGGGTATCTTTATTTTGGAAACATTTTGCCACACAGTGGCTTCTTAGTCTAATGCAGAAAAAGTTGGAAGATGAGGAGTTTGAGGTAATCAGTCCCTCATCTTGGAGTCAATGTGTTCATTCTAGTCAGTCTTGACAAAAGTCAAGATTGATGGATTGAACACATTGACTCCAGGCTGAGGGACTGATTACCTCAAACTCCTCATCTTCCAACTTTTTTTGTATTAGACTTAAGAAGCAACTGTGTGGCTAAATGTTTCCAAAATAAAGATACCCAAATGTTGCACAAGTGTCTTATTTACCACTTGTAATCTTCAACTACTGTAGCAGAGCATTAACATAATATGCATTATTATTAATTATAGAACAATCTTTATTTAATACAAATCCAATTAAAGTTTTCTGTAATTACTACTACAGCCAGATGAAAAGTATAGTCAAAAGTCACTTCATCCACAGTACTATTAAAGTAATAAGAAAACTCAATCTTAAGTTATTCCTCAATTTTCTTGCTTATATTCAATTGCCTAGAACAATACTGTTCTTAAATATTCAATTATATACTGTACTTTTATAATCTGCTGTTTACTCTTTCACCACTTATATTCTTGCATACATATCATGCAAAGGGGTAAAGGAGGTTTTGTGTGCAAAGGGCTTGGACTTCCAGCAAGCATGCATGTGTGTATTGGATAGGGGCAAGTGGAGACAAATGGTTTTTATGACTTAACATGCTGCTGGAGTGTAAGCAAAGTAACATTTATGAAGGGATTCAGGGAAACCTGTTAGCCAGACTTGAGTCCTGGAGGTGTGAAGTACAGTGACTGTGCTCTGGAAGAGGGATGTGATACATTGCAGTTTTTTAACTGTAGTGTATGTGTGCCTCTGGCAAACAGTGATGGAGTGAATGATGATGAAAATGTTTCTTCTTTTTTCAGGTCACCCTGCCTTGATGAGAAATGTCCAATGTGTTAATAAAAAAAATTAATGGGGAAATGCTACTAAATGCATAGGGTTCATACAGCATTTGGGATATGAGAGGTGATCAGGCTTGATCCGAGGAAGGGCCGAGTACCTCCATTTCCTAGATGATGAGCCCTTCACCATCACCAAGGATTCCTTGCTCCTGAAGGGATCTACATGTATATATGTGGTAGACGTAAAGTTTAAGCCTTAGTTTCATCAGAAACACTATGCATGCAAGGGACATCTCACATCTACAACCAGCCTGCTTATATGAACCATATTATATGAATTTTTAACCATAATTTTTTCTTCAACACATCAGCTGTCTCCCACCGAGGCAGGATAACCCAAAAAAGAAATTAACACTTTCACCATCATTCACATATAACCACTGTCTTTGCAGAGGAGCTCAGATACGACAGTTTAGATGTCACTCCAAATAGCCAGTATCCCAAACCCCTCCTTTAAGTGCAGCATTGTACTTCCCACCTCCAGGACTCAAGTTCGGCTAACCGGTTTCCCTGAATCCTTTCACAAAATATTACCCTGCTCACACTCCAACAGCTGATCAGGTCCCAAAAAAGATTCGTCTCCATTCACTCTTATCTAATACACACATGCCTGCTGCATGTCCAAGTCCCTTGCATACAAACGTCTTTTACGCTCTCCCTCCATCCTTTCCTAGGACAACCCCTACCCCTCCTCCCCTCCACTACGGATTTATACACCCTCTAAGTCATCCTATTTTGCTCCATCCTCTCTTAAATAACCAAACCACTTCTACAAGCCCTCTTCTGCCCTCTAAAATACTTTTAGTAACTCCACACCACCTGTTTCCACACTATGTATTCTCTGCATAATATTTACACCACACATTGCCCTTAGATGTGACATCTCCACTGCCTCCAGCCTCCTCCTTGCTGCAGCATTTACAACTCATGCTTCACACCCATATAAGAGTGTTGGTACCACAATACTCTCGTACATTACCTTCTTTGCCTCCATAAGCATTAATTATTTTGTTAATATGTACATACTATACATATGGAATGCATCGAAGAATAAAATAGTAATTTATTTATTTATAAATAGTTCATCTTAAGCTTTTAATGTTATTGCAGCTCAAATTGCTTGTACATTGTAATATTCTGTGATAATAGAACATACTGTAGCTATGTACAATTTTGTTTACAGGACAACATCTGTCATTCTTGTGGACCACTTGAACAGAGTTATGTTTAAGGAGCGAACAATGAAGGAACCAATCAACCTGGAGGCACCTGAATGGGAAGTAAATGAACATAGTTTCATTTCAAAGAAGAAATACTGAAAATGCCTGTAAACTCTTAAATGCAGTATTTACTATACAATATTAATTTCTGAAGACAGTAGTCTGCTGTGTCTGTACAGTCTTTGCATTCATGTTAAAAGAGCTCTACCTGAATCACTTGTACACATTTTGTGTATACAGTATTTAGAAGTTTTATGATTTTTTCTGTATAATCTATTATATATCATGAAAAATATTTTTATCTGAATCCCTTGGATTTATAGCCTGCTTATCTTCAGCAGTCTTATTACAAACAGTATGCTGTAAGAATTAAGATGAAGCTTTGTACAGTACTATACTGGAATGCAAAATAGTAATTTCTCAAGGGTACATTTAATGTTCATGAAACGGTTCTTCCACTCTCTTGTACCCGTTTTCCTTATGAAATAACCATGTATACTCTCTACCAGTCTCGAGGTACCTTCCCTTCTTTCAGGTATATACTGAACAAATACACCAACCACTAAAACTATACCCCACCTGCATTTAATATCTCAGTCTTAATCCCATCTGTCCCAGTTGCTTTCACTTCCTCATGTACTTTCCTCACATTCACTTTTTTTTCCTTCTCTTTTTTTTTTTTTTTCAACAAGTCGGCCATCTCCCACAGAGGCAGGGTGAATCAAAGAGAAAGAAAATCCCCAAAAAGAAAATACTTTCATCATCATTCAACACTTTCACCTCACTCACACGTAATCACTGTTTTTGCAGAGGTGCCCAGAATACAACAGTTTAGAAGTATATACATGTACGTATAAAAATACACAATACAGTGGACCCCTGGTTTACGATCACCTCCCAATGCGACCAATTATGTAAGTGTATTTATGTAGGTGCGTTTGTACGTGTATGTTTGGGGGTCTGAAATGGACTAATCTAATTCACAATATTCCTTATGGGAACAAATTCGTTCAGTACTGGCACCTGAACATACTTCTAGAATGAAATAATATCGTAAACCGGGGTCCACTGTATGTATATATCTCCAAACTGCCAATATCCCAAACCCCTCCTTTAGAGTGCAGGCACTGTACTTCCCATTTCCAGGACTCAAGTCCGGTTATATAAAATAACCGGTTTCCCTGAATCCCTTCACTAAATATTACCCTGCTCACACTCCAACAGATCGTCAGGTCTCAAATACCATTTGTCTCCATTCACTCCTATCTAACATGCTCACGCACGCTTGCTGGAAGCCCAAACCCCTCACCCACAACACCTCCTTTACCCCCTCCCTCCAACCTTTTCGAGGACGACCCCTATCCCACCTTCCTTCCCCTACAGATTTATACGCTCTCCATGTCAATCTACTTTGATCCATTCTCTCTAAATGACCAAACCACCTCAACAAACCCTCTTCAGCCCTCTGACTAATACTTTTATTAACTCCACACCTTCTCCTAATTTCCACACTGAATTTTCTGCATAATATTTACACCACACATTGCTCTTAGACAGGACATCTCCACTGCCTCCAACTGCCTCCTTGCTGCAGCATTTACAACCCAAGCTTCACACCCATATAAGAGTGTTGGTACTACTATACTTTCATACATTCCCTTCTTTGCCTCCATAGATACTTTTTTTGCCTCCCATATACCTCAAGCACCAAATCACCTTTTTCCTTCATCAATTCTATGTTTAAACCCTCATCCTTCATAAACCCAAATTGCTACACGTAAAATCCCAAATATCTGAAAACTTTTCGCTTTTTCCATCTCCCCCCCCCAAATTTTATACCCAATTTTTTCTTTATCTAAATAATTTGATACCTCACACCTTGCTCTTTTCTATGTTCCTTCAACTTCCTTTACACACATTCCCAAATTGTCCCAACCTTTTTCAATTTTTCTGTAAATTCCCATAAGCCAGTTCATCAGCAAAAATAACTTGTTACTTCCCTTTTGTATTTTTTTCCCCAAAATTTTAATCCCCCCCCTTCCCCCCCGAACACCCTCATTTACTTCTTTTAAAACCCCCATCTTAAATATATTAACAACAAGGGTGACATTACACACCTGTCAAAGACCTACTTAAAAACCGAATAGTCTCCCTCTCTTACACACCCTAACCGGGCCTCACTACCCTATAAAACTTTACAGCTTTTTGTAACTTCCACCTTTTTCCAAACTTGCAACATCTGCCACATTGCCCCACCACCATCATATGCCTTTTCTAAATCCATAAATAAATAAAAACTTCCCCCCTTTTTATCTAAAACTGCTACATATATGTTTCAATGAAACATTGATTCACATCCCCTACCCACTCAAAAAACCTCTTTGCTCATCCACAATTCTATTTTCTGCTGCCCTTAATTCTTTCAAAAAAACCCTACGTACACTTTTCCTGGTATACCGAAAACTTATTCCCTATAATTTTTAAAATTTTTTTTGCCCCCTTCCCTTTATAAAGGGCTATACAGTTCTCTGCCAATCCCTGGGTGCCTTCCCCTCTTTCATACATTTATTAAAAAAAAATACCAACCACCCAACACTTATCCCCCCCCTTTTTTAACATTTCTTCGATCCCATCATTCCACGCTTTACCCCCTTTCATTCTACGTAATGCCTCACCACCTCCCCCCAACCCACATCCTGCTCTTCTTCACCCCAAAAAGATGACATACCTCCCGGCCGTGCATAAATTACCGCCCCCCTTTTCTTCTCGACTTTTAAAAGTTCCTCAAAATTTTCTCGCCACTACCCAAACCCCCATCTCCCCATCACAAACCCCCTACTCTGTTTTTAACTGTTAAATCCATTTGTTCCCTGGGCTTTCTTAACTTTTTTAAAACTCACCCAAAAATTTTTCTTTTTTTTCTTTAAAAATTTCCCTTGCAGTACCCCCCCCACCTATCATCTGCTCTCCTTTTGCACTCTTTTCACCTTTCTTTTTTCTCCATATACCTACTCTTTTTTAAAAACACTTCTGCTTTGAAAAATCCCTCCAAAACCCACTTTTTTCGTTTTTTCACACCCTTTACTTATCATTCCCCCAATCACCTCTTACCCCCTGCATCCACCCTCCTGAAACCCACAAACTTCTGCCCCACATTCAATACTGTTTTTTAAAACTTTTCCCAAACCCCTTTTCAACCGCCCCCTCCCCACTACTCATACCGCACCACCCACCTTTTCTGCCAAAGTTGCTTATATTTCACCCGAAACGTCCCCCCCCCTTAGTTTATACATTTCACCCCCCTCTTACTTGGTTGCCATTTTTCTCTTTCCCCATCTCAACTAGATAATGACCCAATATATCATTGCCCCTCTTTAAATGTGTACATCCGGGAGCCTACCCATCAATTTTTTTATCCACCAATATTTTACTTTTCCAAAACCTTTCAACACTGTCATTTAAAAAGGCTCCCCTTTTTCATTTACCCCGGCACCCCAAATTTACCTTACTCCCCCACAACTTTTTTTCCCCAACTTTGCTTTAAAACCCCCAAACCACAAGCATCTCTCTCCAGATTTTATTCCCCCGACAAATGTTTATCCCTTCATCATTAAACAACCAAAAAAAATCCAACTAAAAAATTTTACTGTCTTACACCTCCCCCCCCATCTTTTTGTTTAAACTGCCAGGCCCACTTGTCCCAAGGCTTTCTAAAATTTTTTAATCTCTCTCCTAAACTGTTTTCTCATAGTCCACTAGTTTTTCCTTTCATCCCCAAATGTTTAATCCTCATTTTTTTCTCTCAATATGCTATACCTTCCAAAAATCATTTTCACATTGTAAAACCACCACAACTAACCTTTTCCCCCCCCACCACCCTTTTTTTTATCATTCTCTTTTTCCACCTGCCCCACCCCCCAATATCCTTTAATTTCTGCTGAACAAGTAGACTGCAGTCCTAAAACTATTCCTTCCTCTTAGCCCATTTTTTTGCTTTTAGTTTCTTATATCTCCACTGAGCCCCCCTCAGCTATTCATTTTCACTTCTCCTTCCCCCTTGCCATTTCCCCTTAAACCCACCTGATTTTTTATTTTGCTATAGGAACCCCAAAAAATAAGATCTGAATATCAGTCACTTCTAAAAACTCAATTCAAAAGTTTACCCATCAACCTTTTTTTCCACAATAAAATCTAGCAACCCCATCATAAATTATATATAAAAAGTTTTATTCTATTTTTTCTCTAAATAAGTAGAGTACATATTACCAATTTCAGTACTACATAAATTACAGAAAAAAAATTTGTTCCTTCTTTTCCTCTGAATAGCGGGAAATACAACAGTAAAACTGACAATGGGGTTTACTCATTCAAACAAAATATGAGATACTTTTAAAAGGTTCATAAATTATTTAAAGTATGGGTAAAAAGAAATTTCTTCAAAAACAAAAGAAATTGAAAGGGGCCATTTTTGTGCCATAGAAATTTTCCACCAGACCTTTTTGAAGGCCAAAACAAAAACCATTACGGACAAAGTCCTGGAAATGGGGAGGGCAGTGCCTGCACTCTGAAAAAAGAGTGAAGATGTTGCACGGGAGGGGAAAAAAGGGTTGGATGCAGCAATTCTCGAAAAACAGCAGTTGACAATGTTAGGAATGGGGTTTTCTTCTTTGAACCTTTTGCCTTGGCAGGAGACAGCCATTTAGTAAAAAAAAAAAAAAAAAAAATTTTTACCCCAGTGGCCCTTTTCCCCCCCCCAAGGGAGGGGGGCCCAAAGTAGAAAATACATTTACCATCATTTTGTTCATGAATGAATCAACAATTTTCTACTAACACAGAACTTCATCAGTATGTAGATATTTGGACGATATGCAAAATAATCTTTAAATAAAAAAAAATTTTTTATTTTTGGCCCCCCGCAATAGAACAACAGGGTACTTTTTGAAATTTGCCTAAAAAAAAGAAATGGAGCAAGAATGTTTTTTATGGCAAATGAAATGCTCAAAAAGATAAAAAATAAGTACCATATGAGGTCAAAGGTAACCTGAGACGAAAGAAGACGTAAAAAAATCAGGTGCAAAAGGGCCAAAACTTAACCTCTATCAGAAAACCGCCTACGCCAGCTGCTTTAGATCACGTTAAACCCGCTTCCTTAAGTAACCTAACAAAATTTATTTTGCTGAACAATTCTTATATCCTTATTTTCTTTTTTTTTTTCTTTATTCCTTCCTCTGTACTAACTTCATCCTTAATATACACTAATTAATATTTTCATTGAATTACTACATACCCCCCCAAAATAAAAAAAATGAAAATATTTAAACATAACTAAGTGAAAAAAAAACTAAAAAAATATATACATATTATTACTGCAATACATACTATTTTAAACATAAATTTTTTTTCGAAACCTGATTTTTTAATAAAAATCCAAAGACAGGGCCCCAAGGAAAATTCAAATTTGGTTTTTAAAAAAATTTTTGATTTACAAAATTTTTACAAAATTCAAAAACTTTGGGGGAAAAGAAAGGGGTATAGGGGTTGCTCAAAATTTTTAAAAAAATAAATGTCAAAGGGGGAAATATAAAAAAAAATTAAATTCTTAAAAAAACCCCTTTGGGGGGGAAATTTTCAACAAATTTTTTTGAAAAAAGAAAAATTTTAAAATTCAATTAAAAAACCGAACCCTGGATTTTGCATTAAAAATAAAGGGGTTTTTTTAAAATTTTTTGGGCAAAAAAAAAATTTTAAATTTTTTTTAAAAAAAAAGGGGTTTTTTTTTAAAAAAAAACCCCGATGTTTTCCCCCCCAAACCCCCTTTTTAACCAAAAATTTTTAAAAAAAAAAAAACAAAATTTTTTATTTTTTTTTTTATTTAAAAAAACCCCCCAAAAAAAAAAACCCCCCCCCAAACCCCCCAAAAAAAAAACCCCCCAAAAAAACCCCCCCCCCCCCCCAAAAACAACCCCCCCCCCCCCCCCCCAAAAACAAAAAAAAAAAAACCCCCCCCCCCCCCCCCCCCAAAAATAAAAAAAAAAAAAAAACAAACCCCCCCCCCCCCCCCCCAAAAAAACAAAACCCCCCACCCAAAAAAAAAAAAAAAAAAAAAAAAAAAAAAACCCCCAAACCCAAAACCCCCAAAAAAAAAAAAAAAAAAAACCCAAAAAAACCCAAAAAACCCCAAAACCCCCCATTAAAAAATTTTTTTTTTTTTGGGGGGGATTTTTGGGGTAGGGTGGGGGGAGGTTACTGAAAAAGTTTTAAAATTTTAGTGAGCTCAAGTAAGTATGTAGGAAAGAGGAAAAAACCCCAGAAAAGTAGGCCTTAAAAAAGGGATTGTGTTAAAGGGTTTTTTAAAAATTTTATGATGGGGTTGTAAGAAGTAAATGCGAGGGTCTTGGCAAAGGGGGGTTTAAAAAAAAAAAAAAAAGTGGGATTTTTGGTTTTCTTTGCTGTGACCTGTGTTTTGGGGAATTCTGAAAGAAGTTGCAGAGTTTGGGTGGATAAATTTTGGGGGGTGCAAAAAAGAAAAAAGAAAAAAGGAAGAGAAAGGGTTTTGGGAAAAAAAAAGGGGGGAAAAAAGGGTATCAATTGGGGAGAGGTAGGAGGGGTGAATGTTTCAGATATTTGGGAGGGGGTTTTAGGGATGGGTTAAAGAGGGAAAAATTTTTGATGAGGGGAAA